ACCCATTGTTAGAGAGAACTAAAGGGACATGGGGAAGGGCAAACAGCTTACTAGGCTGGAGGCTGAATGCACACCATATATTTAAATTACACACCCACTCCCGAATCCTGGGAACTCTATTTTAAGGGTGCTGGAATTATAGCTTTGAGGAGGAAACTATATTTCCCCCTGTATTCAGGGTAGAATGCTGTAAATATATGGTGTGTATACACAGCCTCAGTTTAAGACAGGCTTCCTCAAAACTCAGCCCTCCAGATGTTTTGGGACTACAACTCCCATGATCCCTAGCTAGCAGGACCAGTGGTCAGGGATGATGGGAATCTGGAGGGCCGAGTTTGAGAAAGCCTGGTTTAAGAGATTTAGAACTACTGTTTGTGGCAAGGTTTGAGAAATGGAAAAAGTTTCATAGCTTTAGATGTGCAGAACCAAGCTTTTTTATCTATACAGTGTGGAGCGCCATGCAGACTGGATCACATGCTGATACCTAGAGATGCAGTACTAAAGACCAGAGACATTTATTCCCCTCTTCAAGATATAAGACACCATGTGAACAGAAATAAACACATATTTTTTTTTGCACATGCTAATCCACCACCAGCTGCATCTCTATTTTTAGGGTGGTTGGTACTAAGCAGATGTGTTTGTACACACACGTGTCCATGTGTGATGACAGTTTTCTACATCATAGTCTATTAACCAATGATGTTTAGATCAAGTATTTAGCTGTTTCAGCCACACCGGTACTGCAACAACCCAGTACCATAAATGTGACTTGGCGAGGTGAGGGGACCCAGTTTGCGATTCTGTAGATGGCTGAGAAACATGCTTCCTGCAAGCAAATGCTAATCCAGTCAAAGATATCTTAAAATCCATCTTAGTTACTCCTTTGCATTTTTTTGTTACATCCTATTAGCTGACCATAGGTTATCCAAACCTAGTGGAACTTGCTTGGCTGCCACTCTAAACATTATAGAAATGTAGAGTTGGAGGAAACCCGAGGGTCATCTAGTCCAACCCCATACAATGGAGGGATCTCCAAGCCAATGTGAACTTAAGGAAGTTCATGGAAGAAAGGCTTCTTCCACCCTTCTCCCCCAGCAGTCAGTCATTTTGAGCCTCACACCCCACCCACATTGTTCAGGAGGGGCTCCCACCTTCCAGAGAGAGACTTTTCAGGGGCCTGATTTATTAACAAATCTTCCATTAAATCACCATTCTAATCATCTTAACATTTTAGGTATTTTCCACCCCTCAAGCCTTTATGTGGAATTCAGTTGAACTGCAATTTGGTTATCCAAGATTCTCATCCATTTTAGCAACCTGATCCCCCGAGAATCTGTGGAGTCATGCAATACCCCCTCCTGACTCCCTTAACAGCACACTACATTCCAGGAAGGACAAAAACTGTGTGTTTGCTTAAGCATCTTCTGTTTAGAGAGCCGCTCCAACCACCATACATTCCGGACGTGCCCTGTTCTAGTTTTCTGGCAGCCTCCTGATTTTCTAGGGAACAATTCGATGTTCTGCTGCCAGCTTGAGCGATGTTAAGCTTTCATTCCTACGGGATGCAATACAAAGGCAGATAATACACAATCCAAAAAGGCCAGGCCACCAATCAGCACTCAATCAAGCAACATACCCCAAAGAGAAAAGAAGCAGATTTCTGTCCCTATAAAATTTGGCTGTGCATCTAGGGACACCCATCTGCTTCGTATGGCATTCGTACAGCCAATAAACTGGGACAAAAGGGAGTGAAATCAGTGACAATCCAAACAAGATTCAACTGCCTACTCAATGACTAGAAGGATATTTTGTCTATCAACCTTACCTACCGAATTAACTAAAGCCAATCAAAATATGCAACCTGATATTTCCATGTAAACATGTGCATGTAAGACTAATTCAACAGGGTTTCCTTAATTGCTTTTCGGCTTGCAGGCATTGAAATGTTACTGTGTTACACCTTTAATATAATCTATAGTGTCATGTTTACAAAATAAACTGCATTTGAAGCAAAGTAGTGGGACTTCCAACAAAATGTTGCCGTGTTCAGGTCCCAAACCCAGTCAGTCGAAATTCCATCTCCATTCAACACGCTTGGTCCAGAGTTGGGTTTTTATTGTGCGGGGGGGGGGGGCATCTTCCGCTTAGCCCCCCCTCCCCCAAGATGATTTGCACTTCTACAAAACTTGTGGTTCCTTCAGTACTGTGAAACATGTCTCTTATAAGTGAATGTGCTATTTTGGCTGCATAAAGAGCAAGATCAAGAGAATGTGCTTGCTATTAGAATATGGGATACATTTTGCAATCTCAAAACTTTTTTACATTTCATAATTTCTGCACAAATGAAAATGACAGGAGTTACATTGAACTAACTTTATTGAGACAAGACAATGTTGTTTTTGCCCAGTATTGTCACGATTACACTTGCTCTGTTTGCACCATTCCATTCAAAATACATCAGTTCTTTTAAAAGGAAAAAAAACCAGGTATCGGCAACAAGGTCTTTAACAAAAATCCATTTCAAATCCAGCCTTTTGCTTTGCCAAATATGTCAAATCCTTCCGTTCCTGGGGTGAATTTATTTATACTTCAGTGGTTAGAATTATATTGTATTAAGCATCTCTCCTCCCACAAAGAAACAGACCACTGGACAGAAGATTCAGTACCCTTGAATTCCAGAGATTGCTATTAGCATAATGCATAGTAATGAGCCAGCTGGAATTATCTGACTCAAATGCAAGCAAAGACACAAGAGAACAATCATCCAGCATTTCACCAGTCCACTGAATACTGTAGCTCCATATACCAAGACTAGGTGTGTGTTCACAAATCAGGCGGTTGTCTGAAAACCAAGAAAAAAGTGCACACATCCTTCCTCATGCCAGGTCTTCTGCAATAATGTATAAATGGGACGACTTCTTCCTGAAGAATACCAGCTCTCCCCCCCCCCCCGCAATTTATATTATATAGAGCTGCCTGTCATGCTGTCCTATTGTTTTGAGATAGGAAACTGAAGACTACTTCCAGTATAATGGTTACAATGCATGGATGGCTCTGGAAGCAAACTCCCAGGCTCATGTACAAATGAAGATGTTTTGTTCATCTGAACTATCCTGGCAGTTATCTGTAGAGGGTACAACAATAGTTACAATTCACAGGAGTGTTTTTTGGGATGCTCCATTTTTGTCCAAATGAGCAATTTTCACATGAATGCACCCAGATGAATCAGCATCATGGAGCTGTTCAAATGTTCACTAAAACTAGACCAAAGCTGGGCACTCTCAAAAAATGCCTGGATAATTTAAATCCATACATTTTGCTCAAAGAAGCAGTTAATCTCAACGTAATTCATTCTAACTTCCCCATAGCTTTTTATTTTTTAAAACTATTTGAACCCCAGTGATCCACTCCAAATACTAACCACGTGACCTGCCTACCTCATGGCATGGCTCTTTTAATGATGCAATCGTGAATGTGTACAATTGCAAGTAAATCCCAGTTACATCACTGGGGCCTAGTCCCAAATTGTGGTTAGAATCAGAAGTAATTACTACTCATGACTACATACAAGCAAGCATGACCTTTCCAAAACCCATTTTCTTTCCTTTAAAGGTTTGCAATGGGCACTTGCTTAATACACGGTCAATAAAGCATCTATATATTATATATAGTATTTTTAAAGTACCATTTTTATTTAGAGTATTTTGTGCATGTTGTTAAAAGCTAAAAAAGCAGTATGATCTACATCAGGCATAAGGAACTGGTGACCTCCAGATGTGGCTGGACTACAACTCCCATCATCCCTGACCATCGGCCATGCTAGCTGAGGCTGACAGAACTGGTATTCCAACATGTGGAAGGTCCCAAGTTCCCCATCCCTTACTTACATTTTAGGCATACAATGCCTGCATTTGGCCAATCGTTATTTTGGCTTAATACGCTGACATGTGAATGGGGATTGTAAATGTGTGCGTAGCCCCTTTGTTCTTCCTTTCAGGGGAGCAAGCAAGCCACAAAATCTTCAGTTAACAATAAATTTCTTATGTAATTCTAACAGTGAAACGATGGTTAACCACTTTGGAACAAACCAGGATATGATGCCATGGTTTGAAGGCTGGTTCATATTTCAGCTGATTAAACCAGGTAAGATTCCCAAACCAGCAAATATTTGTCAATGTGAGCCCATGCAAAATTGGGATGCAGCCCACTCCTGAGGAATTCAATGGAAAAACCTCTAAATGGTTTTCATTGATCAGAACTATATAACTTCATGCTCTGAAGTTCAGAACTATTTGGCTTTAAAAGCCAAACAAGCTGCATGCGGCCTCAACTCATGTCATATTCAGAAAAGGCAGCTTAAAGGTGCTTTGGCACAACAACTCAGAATGCAAGTACCGTATGTTTGTTTACTTCCAAGTCATGAATCTGCATCAAAGAACCTAAATTATGAGATACCCAGAGCTTTATAGAGAGTCAATGTCAACAGGACCACAAACCTGCTCTCCACTGAAGACAGTAAAAAGACAAGAAGCAGCTGTTTGTGGCACAAGCTGCTGGTTGAAATGCAGCAAAATGTTTAGTTCCAATGCTTCTGAACCTTTACATGGAATGAAATCCTCCTAAATAAACATTTTTAAGTGTATGATGAAGACCCTGCTTTAATGGAGAGGACGCTAACCTGTAGCCCTTCACTGTTGGACTCCAACTTCCATCAGCCTTAGCCAGCAAGGCCAATTATCAGGGATGATGGGAGTTGGAGTCCAACTCATCTCAGGGGCCATAGGTTAGTCACTTCTACTTAATGCTAGTGGAGATAGCAGTTTATTAAAGATAATGATAAATAATGAAGGCTGCTAGATAGTTCTGCTCATTGTCAATAGCTATTAAAGAGAGTCTTCATGTCTGAGTAGACAAGAAGAAAATATGATATGAAGTGAATATGAATTCCAAATAATTACTCCATGGAGGACAAAAGAGAACATAAACCACAAGAGGGGTTTTGCTGTCTACCAACATTGATGCTGTGTGTAATGAAACTCAGCCACCCAACCTACAATGTTTAGCACATGCAGTCAGCAGAAAGTATGCACACAAATAAAATGCATGCACATAAATAATAGCAAGGAAATATATCAGTGCATGCTGCCTTTTTTAAAAAATTATACAAATGCAAAACACTAAAACATTAATATTACATAAAAAATAAATGTACCAAATCTTACAGCTTATAGAACTTTTACAAGATGCCAACAAAAGAAACAAATAATACTTGGGATGTGTTCTCACTTAGCACTTTTCTACCACCCGCAAGCTGCCTTGAACCATCCTCAGGAGACTAATTTCCTTGAGTGGAAAGTCAGCATGAACTTGGCTGCTAAACTGGTTATAGCAATAATGGTTGCCATGATTACACTGGCAGGGAAAAAGGGCTCCCACAGGCATGGAAATTGCCCTTCATGTGTGCGCAAAGTCACATTTATTAATATTTGAATTATACTCTGATGTTTGATCCAGGAGGATCCACAGGACAACTTAAAAATACAATAAAGTGAGGCTGCTTCCATGTCCTCTAAATGACACATGCCATCAGATAGCCATCTCTGCCATCTCCCAATTCTCTTTTGGGGAATTGTAGTCATTTTATCTTAGTTCAATCCAACTGCTGACTGTTAATTGTTTGTTACAGTTATTCATTAAAGTTATTCTTGATGGATATTCAAACAGCTGAGGAAGGCTCCAAACTGCTTTTATATGTGGGAATACTGTGGTATGTATCAACCCCAATCTGCCATTTGGAAGTCATTTAAATTTGACATATTTTCAAAAGTCATCTCAACCCCACAGAAGTCAATGAGATGTACATTTGCATTCTACATCTTCTTTCATGCAAGACATGTTTTAACTTGGGAAGAATTTTTAAAAAGCATCCTGGAGTTTCATGCTCAGAAACTGCTAAAGGTATTTTGGATCTAAAAATCCAAATAAGCACCACTGGATTATTTCTGGAGTAACTTCCATCTAATTATTCTTGCGGGTACTGTGAAAAAAGAAGGTACTTACAAAGTAAGTAAATTTGTTTAGGATTGAGCTGTTAGTGTTAAGTATACCACCTTAAGTAGCTTAAACATCATATACTTAATATGAAGATTCAAACCACTTCTTGAAAATTCCATTGCAGGACTGTAGACTTTGGTCCAGAAGGACAGAAGACCTCTGGGTATTAACGTACAAAGCAGTACCATTTGCTAAGATGCAAGTTTGTTTGTTTGTTTAAAAACGGAATTAAAAATAATTGCATTTCTTCAATGCAGACAGCCAAGTCACAGAGCTGAAGCAAGCAATGTAGCAAAATTATGTACAAGTAGATTGTGTTTTAAAGTTAGTGTCATTGAGGGGTGGGGGACAGATAAAGCACCTACAAAATTTCATTTGAAACAAGATCATTTATAAATTTTTCCCAATGCCAAGAAACGGCTGATGGAATCAATATAAAAAGAACATTAGTCCCCATAAAAGAACAAACTGCCTTTCTGCTGCAGACTGTGAACATCTTACAGCATTAAACAGATTAAGGCAAGAGGGAAGAATTTGAGTGCAGCAATCTTGCAGCCAACACCCTGCTTTCCTAATATAAAGTGTGTTGCAATAATCAAGGATATTACATTGCTACTGTAGTAAATGTCAAGATACTCAAAGGCTTTTAATTACATGGAAAAAATAAATTCCAACACAAAGGTTGGATTATGCAAGCTGTTTTGTCTAAAGAAAATGATCTGGAATGCATTTCGTGGTAGTCTGAAAGGATGGGTTGGCAGAACTGGAGACTAAAAGCATCTAACAGCTGGAATAGATGCTTATTCACAGAATTAAGAGTTGTTTTATAGCCACATTTCTGTATTGTTAATCCACAAGTGGCTCAAACTATCACTGACTCAGCAGAGAGCTTCCCTTACTCCCTTATTGGTTCAGGGAGCTACTAACAGAAAGCTTTGTCTGCATCAAGTTATCCTTGACTTAGGGGCATAACAGCAATGATAAAAAAATAAAATTGTGGTGTGCCATGACCAGGACAGGTCCAGGGAGCTCCATTAGCCAGTAATCTGCCCAAACCAACAATGGTTTCTCCCTTGCTGTTTGTTAATATTTTTCTAACAAGTTCTATTTTTTTGTGTAGTGTAAGATGTTAGCTTCTTCCATAGCCAACAAACCAACCTTGAGAATGCATTCCCCTGCCCCACCAGTTAAAGGAATTTAGACTTCATTGCCAACACAATCACTAACGCTGTCATTGAATTAGTGAAAAAGGTTAACTGTCATATGATTAGTAGGACTCCAACAGCAGCCTTCTTTTATGAGGAAATAAATCCAAACCTCTACACAGAATCAAAAAATATTTTGTCTTCAACTCATCCCTTTAAATATACTGAAAATAATTATTTTTAAAATTAGTTATCAAGCAAAGAATTTTCTTTAAAACAAAATCTGACTCATAGGCACTCTTTTTTTTTTATAGGCTACGGTTGGACTTTCGGGCACTCCAACTAGTTCTTTCCGGAGGAAGTCCAGGAGACAAAGGAGTTAGGTACCAGTACTTGTATGTTCCATACCAAGCCAAGAGACCTGCCAACGTGCCAAATAACTTTTGGGAGAAGTCATGAAAATACACAGCCGTGGTAAAAAACATCCACAACCAAATCATGGTCAAGAAACTCAGGGCCAGGAAAAAGCCATTTACCACAGTGTGCATTCTGGAGTTCTGGGAGATGTTCACGATGTGCAACACAGCCATCTCCTCTATAGTAATCAGGGCACAGTATGAGAGAAGGAAGGAGTGTCCCGAGATGTCAAAGCCATTCCAGAAGCCACCAGCTTTTAGGCACTGTAGTTTGTTGGGATGTTCCTTCAGCGGTACATCAAAGGCCACAGATTTGTAGCAGCTGCCTGTCAGGTCCTCAATGTACAGGAACACCCCGGTGCATGAATACCAAATGGCAGTGCCAACTAGCAAAGCACTGAGACGTCGAACCACCACCGCAACGCTCCGGGTGACGTGGTAGGTAGTGATGCCGATAAAAGGGAGCAGCAGACAAAGGGTCCAGGCCCAGGCAACTTTAACAAAATACCTGCCAGGGAGAAATTGAAAAGAAATATTCTAAGCTCCAGGGAGGTAAGAGAGATGCGCTCAGAGAAGTTACAAAATTATACCATCTGCATATTGCCAAATCCATCCTAGTAAATTCTCATAATCTTCTGGACAAGGCTTGTACCAAACACTTGTGGATCCTCCCACACAAGAGGCACTAAAGTAGTGTCCAGGATCTGGTACAAGCCTTAAAGAACTCTTGAGTGGCCACAAAACTATCATATTTGATATAGGTGAAAGTTGTAAACAGCCTCGAAAATCGAAGCGCCCTGTTTAATTTGAAAACTGACCATGGTTTTACTGCATATATTGCGACTGTTGCTGTTGTTGTTGTTGTTGTTGTTTTCCTTTCCTTTCCTTCCTTTGGATGTTACCATGGCCTTTGGCTAGCATAATAAAACCCAATAAAATTTATTTATCGAAATCTGAAAATTCAAAATGAACTATTTCTTAGAAATTAAATTAGTTCAAAGGAAGCTAGAGGTATCTAGGAGGAGCAAGCTGAGAAACAGATCAAGAATGACCTGCAGCAAGAGGGACATCTGCAAGAGTGTCGAGCATCCTAGTTAATGCTTCTAAATTTGGGCTGCAGTTTAGTGGCAGAGCACATGCATGCAGAAGTTCCCAAATTCAATCTTCACCATCTCCAGGTGGGGCTGGAAAAGACCCTTGTCCGAAACCTGGAGAGCTACTGAAAAGGAAACCCCTGGGCCCTCCAGATGTTGTTGGGCTACAACATCTGGAGGGCCAAAGTCCCCCCAGCCATGGATGCACTAGATGGACTCATCTTCCTAAATGCACGTGGCCAGGAGAGAATCCACTACCATCACGAAAATTACTGCCACACCTAGAAAGATAATCCGTTTAATCCGCTTTCTCCACATCTGGGATTAGGCAAGTGGTTACTGCATTTATTAGTTTTTGCTTCACTGCTGGCTACATTGCCTACTCGCCCTAATAAAATCAAACCCCAGTAAACAAAAGCCGCTTTTTCTGACAGGGTCTCACCCTTATTTGCAGAAGGGCAACAACCTCCTCATGCAACAGCTCCTGGTAAGATACGGCCCCTGCCCTCCCTTCAGATCCCCCCCCCCCGCGGTTAAAGTGCCCCCCATGTCAAGCTGCCCCATCCTCTCAGCCCCCTCCCCTCCCTGTCAATCAACGCCAGGCCCCTCCTCCTTCTCCTCACATCCCCTCACATGTTAAGCAGGTTGCGCTTGTTGCTCATGTAGGTCTCCGGCAGCGGCGCCCACTCCTTGATGACGCAGCCGCCCAGCATGAGGCCCAGAAGCCCCAAAGGCATCGTCCTCCGCGCCGCGTCGCGCACCAGGTAAGGGCGCAAGAAGCGCGCCGAGCGGTCCATGTACTCCATCGCCAAGGCTCCGAGGAGGACTCGACGCCGCTGCAGAGGGCGGCCAGCCGGTGACCGCCGGCCAAGAGGACGCCCGGCCGACGTGCTGCGTCACAGCCTCGCGTCGCTCGGGCCCCGCCCCGCCGCAAGTGGGCCTGTCCTTTTCTCTCCCCCAACTGCGCAGGCGCCTTCTCGGGCGGCGCGTGCAGCTGCCTCGCGCGCGCGGCAAAGTCCTCCTAACTGTCACTTTAGGCGCCTCCCGTCTGCGCCTGCGCAGGGCGCTGAATAACCCTGGCCTGATTTCTTCACGCTTAGGTGTTCACTTCAGTTAAGATTTAGGTGGAGGTTATTGTTGAGTAAGCATGTATAGGAGGAGTAGGCTTCTCTAATAAATGAATTTTAAAAAGGAAGAGTAGGAGAGGTTGTACTCTTAACATGCACAATTGCGTGTGGCGCTGTGTGCACAAAAGTGTTTGCTTTGCGCAGTTGCCTCACCCCAGCTGCCCACTCTTGCTTAATGTTAGGGCCGACCCTGAGTGAGTGAAATCATGTGTCGAAATGATTGGCGGCAATCATTGTGTAGAAGGAGGGGCTTTTGTTAGGTGAAGGTTTATTCGGCCTGATCCCAGGTGTTGTTAGCCAAGTTGCAAAGTCCCAAAAGCTTCACTTTCTGAAATCCCCTTTTCCACACTACTCTTGACAGCTGTTCTCCTTTGCATCAACCTAATCTCCAGCTCAACATCAAAAAAACGAAGATCATGGCCACTGGTCCCATCACCTCCTGGCAAATAGAAGGGGAGTAAATGGAGGCAGTGAGAGATTTTACTTTCTTGGGCGCCATGATCACTGCAGATGGTGACAGCAGCCACGAAATTAAAAGACGCCTGTTTCTTGGGAGAAGGGCAATGACAGGCCTAGACAGCATCTTGAGAAGTAGAGATGTCACCTTGCCAACAAAGGTCCGTATAGTTAAAGCCATGGTCTTCCCAGTAGTGATGTATGGAAGTGAGAGCTGGACCATAAAGAAGGCTGATCGCCGAAGAATTGATGCTTTTGAATTATGGTGCTGGAGAAGACTCTTGAGAGTCCCATGGACGGCAAGAAGATCAAATGCATCCATTCTTAAGGAAATCAGACCTGAGTGCTCACTGGAAGGACAGATCGTGAAGCTGAGGCTCCAGTACTTTGGCCACCTCATGAGAAGAGAAGACTCCCTGGAGAAGACACTGATGCTGGGAAAGATGGAGGGCACAAGGAGAAGGGGGCGACAGAGGACGAGATGGTTGGATAGTGTTTTTGAGGTTACCAGCATGAGTTTGACCAAACTGCGGGAGGTAGTGGAGGACAGAGGTGCCTGGCGTGCTCTGGTCCATGGGGTCACGAAGAGTCGGACACGACTAAACGACTAAACAACAATCTCCACATTGATGGAGATGTTCAATGCGCAATTAATTGTGTGACAGGCTACACCAGTTGAATTTTCCTCTTCCCGTCTTTGGCATCTGGCCTCTCAACTGGACATTAATCACAGAGCATGAAGTCCTCATGGATTGCTTCCTCAAAATGTTTGTTCAATGCGCTATGGCTATGCAGAAGCAGATGCAACGTGAGGAAAATGTATTAGGAGTAAGATAGGTATGTCCCTGCCAATATCAGTGGTGCATCCACACTTCAATGCATTTCACAAAATTAGAAATGCAGTGGTACCTCAGGTTAAGTACTTAATTCGTTCCGGAGATCAGTTCTTAACCTGAAACTGTTCTTAACCTGAAGCACCACTTTAGCTAATGGGGCCTCCTGCTGCTGCCATGCCGCCAGAGCACGATTTCTGTTCTCATCCTGAAGCAAAGTTCTTAACTCGAGGTAATATTTCTGGGTTAGTGGAGCCTGTAACCTGAAGTGTATGTAACCTGAGGTACCACTGTACCAAGCTAGAAAGAGCACAGAGCAGAATGACAAAAGCTGGAAAGGACACCGAATAATGTATGCATGCACACCAATTTTCCACAGAGGGGCAGCACATGATTGGTAGAAAAAGCAGGCCTTTTCTGTATAAAATGAAACAGCGTGTACTGCAGGCACAAGTGTAATAGTAATTATCATTATTACAGGTGCAACTTACGGGAATGATGTTTTAAAACAATAACAACAAACTATTCTTTTTGTAAACTGCTTTTTACAATCAAGTAGTATATATATTAGTGTGTGGACAAGTGTGCGGTAGCTTCCTTTGAATTCTCCTGAAAAGTAATTAATAGATGGAGGGGGTCTTAAAAAGGTCATAGAGACAAAGACGAATGATATACACATTGGTGAGGCTCCGTACTCATAGCCCTACTTCCCTGGGAGTAAGCCCCACTGAATTCAATGGTACTTACTACTGACTAGACGGTAAGATTGCAATGTAATGGTAATTTTTCTCCCCATGGAGATGTAGGGAAGAGTAATCTGCCTAATAAATAACTCTCAGTTTACACAGCAGGTGGTCTGTCAATGCTATTATATGCAGCATTGCATCAAGTTGAGTTCAGTTTGAGGAACTCAGGCAGTGTTTATTCAGCTGCAACAACTGATTTATTTAGCAAAACAGGTTCCGCCTTAGAATTTCCAGCAGAAAGACAAATCTTTGCAGGGGGTCTGTCATTCAGTGCTATTAACATTGTGAACAGAGTCTCTCCAACCTGGTGGTAAATTATATATTTCACACTGAGATGTGACAACTGAGGCTGTGTACACACTAACCCATTTGTAGCACACAAAAAATGTAGTTTTTCCTCAGTCCAGATCATTCATGTTTGTCCTCTAGATTGATTCTAGATCCTATTGTCCACAAAGGTGGGTGAGGTTGCTTGATACCCATTTGAAAACACTCCTGTTAGCTTATCCACAACTTTTCCATCCTGCATATGCCCCAGGTGAATGAAGAAGGAAGTGGTGATGATGGTCTTCATATATGCCCATCCACAATGTCATTGGACAGGTGTGGACACGCCTTTGATGGCTGGAACTGCCTTTATCTGTTTTCAAATAGACACACTGCAGAGTAATGCAGAATCAATTTACAGTGAAGTATAATTTGTACGCAGCCATATCTCAAAGGAACAGTTACATGCAAGGCTTTTTTTCTGGGGGGATGCAGAGGTACGCATACCCCTAAACATTTTGTGAATCTAAGTTTGGCGTCATTGAGGGGCAGTATTTCAATATGAGTAGGAAAATGAGAGTACCCCTAAACTTTTTTTTTAAAGCACTGGTTATATGCAAGGCTTTACTAATGTTAACAACAGCCTGAAATTGGGGTTTGGGCAGTATATCTTTTTCCTTCCACAACACATAATCAGTCCAACTGCATGCATGCTTATGCATAAGTATATCCCACTAAGTCCCATGTGACTGCACAGGATTGCAGCCTTGGACACCATGGAAGCTGTTGCTGTGTTCTCTATGAAATGAGAAAGACAAAGAAGCTGTCACCCTGTCCCTCTCCTCCATCCATCAATCTGGGCAGCTCTCAGTTACCATACATACATTTACAAAGGATCGGTTTGTCCCTTGCTTCAGCATCCGTCTTCTAGAGAGAAGCTACTGCCAGAGGAAATGACAAATATATTCTTCACATAAGTAACACCAACCTTGGCGGACTCAACTGATTGATTGTGGCAGCAACAACTTCATTTTCTTTTCCTTCCTGCGAGAGTACAAGGGGAGAGTGTCATAATCCTGTGCACAGCTATGTGGGTGTAATCCCCACTCAACTCAATGGTACTTTTGTTTGCATCCATAGAGACAATGACTGCTAAACCATAAAGTCTGGGTTCTGTAATTCAGACTGGGCAGAAGCTGTGTGTTGTCATGGAGCTAATTGTTGCCACTTGACTTCTCCCCTTGCAAACCTAGACAGGCAAAGCTCAATTCCTAGAGTCATGGTTGTTTCAGCTTTACAAAACCATAGTTGCTGAGCCAACAGTGCTTTAAGACTAGTTTCAGCAACATGTAATAAAGAGCAGTGAGAAATATGATGTTACACTGTTACACTGTTTTAGCACCTTCCTTGTGCAATGCACCGTAATTGAATAGGGTTAAGAAATGATAGGTCACTCACCTCTGTTTTCTTCTGTATCTTCACAGTTACACGAGGAAACAGAAGGTGGTGCTATTCTACAAGTATCGTATGTTAGTTTTTGAGCTTGACAGAAATTGCCACCCTCAAACCATCCAAAATTTGAAACAAATTGGGAGGGAACCTTGCTCATGGCAAAACATCTAAATTCTGGGAGAAGTCCAAAGTGATTTAATAGGACTAGCAGATTTTTTTTTAATGGAGTGCATGACTGCACTTGTTTTGATTTTATAGAAATTGCTTAAACTTGAGGCCCCTAGTGAACTCCTGTGAACATCTGAAACAAAAAGAAACACAGTGTATATACACAGGGTGCAGCTTGCTTGCTTGCTGTCTTTGAACTTTTTTCAGATTTTGCACAGGAGTTCCATTCAGCAGCTTAGTCCAGTGCAATCTACAACCTATTCACACCCAGACAAAACATACTTTATGTCAGTGATGGGATGTTCAGAAGAAGTAGATTGTATATCTTATGTTTATTCTGTTATATTTTTTCAAAGCTCCTTAAAAGAACATGGGATGTCCTATTTTGACTATGAGTGTGAGCCTGTGGGGCAAAGAAGTTCAGTGGCAGGGGACAGGCCTAGCAAAAGCCAGGCAATCAAACCAAGCTGGAGTTGCAGAACCTCAGAGAGCTCCAAGCAGGCAACTTACTCAAAGGTGGGATATGTTCACATCACCACTTAGCCTGCACCCAATGTATTCACGCAACATTAGCCACAATCCATATAGATCTTATCGTTCCTCAACAAATATTGTTGCTGGATGCATTTCCCCTCAAACCACCTTCAATCCAATTAGCAAACAGGATGCAGAGTAAATGGCAATGTGAACATACCCTAACAGTCACTGCACATGTGAAGATGAGTGTGCAAGCAGAGACGATATCTTAAAGAATAGGAGTTCCTGAAACAAACAAAAAAAGTCATGTGCATCAGGTGAAGACATCCCTGCAAATGCAGCTTGAAATGCTGCTGGGGAAAATGACCTTGCTGTGCTTCAAGTA